AGTTTAATTAATTAAGCAGGGAGCCAGGATTCTTACTTTGTAAACCTCCTCATCCTGTGCAAGAGGAGGGCATGGACTTTATGTGAGTTCTACACCCCAGCCCTGGGGGAGCTTGTTTACACTATAAGGAGAGGAAAGAGGCTGGCTAGAAGCCACAGCTGCTGCTCTTCCCTTTGCTCTTTGCTGTTTTCTGCTGCCATCTGCCATGTGCCACTCTGCCAAGTATTTTGTCCCAGCAACAAAATTGCAACAAAATCCCAACAGTAATATTTTGAATTACTGTCCCAGTAAAAAGTAACTGGGACAGTAATTCAAAATACATGGGGATGTGGATGTTGTAAGGAACCCTTGAGAGCTGGACAGGAATAGGATGCACCTGATATGGTGGCATAGGCTTGGGAGTCCCTGTTACCATAGAGAAGTGAGGACCACCTGAGCTCATGACCAACCTGGGCATCCTGGGGTCTTGCAGGAAAAGGACAGGAGATTGCAAGAGAGTTTCCTATTGCTCTAATAAATTACCATAAAATTGATTACATTTCTGTAGGTCCAAAGGCTGGCATGGGTCTCACTGGGTGGAAATCGATGGGTTGGTCTTAGGAGTGAGTTCATTTCCTTGCCTCTTCTGATCTCAGGAGGCTGCCCCGTTCCTTGCCTCCTGGACCTTTTCCTCCTTCAGAGCCAGTCCCAGCTGGTTGGGTCTCTTGCTGCCTTCACATTAAGCTGTCCTGCCTCTCACTGCTCCTTGGAAGAACTCTTACTATTACATTCAGCCCACTCTGCTAATCCCAGATACTATCCCACCTTAAAGTCAACTCCTAATAACTTTAATTCCTCCTGCAACTTTAATCTCTCTTTATTACCTTAATCTAACATAGTCACAACTTGCGGGCTGTACAGGGGCAAACTATGGCAACCGTGCCTCAGCAGGCTGTTTCTATATTTGAAATCTCTTAAGGATTCACCTTCACTGGTTTAGATTGTGGACATATGACGGGTGGAGGGAGGAGAGTTCTTTGTTCTGCCTTTGAAATCTGAAAGAGTCTGAAAGAAGCTTGGATTCTTCAACAAATTTCTGCCTTATAGGTTCATCCCTTGCATATCATTCAAACTTTGATTAGAGATGCCAATAACTACGAAATGACAATAACATATTTTGCTGTTTCTTGTATTTACACCTACTAAAAAATTAATTTTTTTATTCATTTAGTACAGGGTCTACAGGGTCTCACTATGTACATCAGTCTCATAGTGATCCTCCTGCTTACAGCCTCCCGAGCTTCTGGGATTACAGGCGCGTGGCACCATGCCTAGTCTCAATCGCCATCTCAGTGCACCCTAGAGGTGGAGCCGACCAGCAGGCCCGGGGATTGAACCCCTGGCCCCTGTGTCTGCTTAAGCAGGTGCTTCAATCCACTGAGCTATCTGAGCGGCCCTTAAAAAGACTAATTTTTTTAGGCAGGGTCTCACTATGTAATTCAGGCTGGTCTTGAACTTGTTATGTAGCTTAGTGTAGCCTCAAACTCTCAGTCATACTGTTGCCTCAACTTCCTCACCCAGTTTAAGGTTTTTAGTTCACTGTGAGTTTTGTTTTCCCCAGCATCCAACAGACTATTTTTAGGTGAAAAGTCCTGTCTTTCTGGGCATGTGCTCCAACTTAGAATGGCTTTAGTATGTCCACATCGGTGCTAGTGTACAATATGTGGACAATTTACATGGCCAGAAATGTCCCCCACCTGACAGGTTCTGAGGAGATTCATGAAGCTGAGGCAGGGAACCTAAGCTACACCTATCTATAGAATAGATTTGCAAGTTTGCCACCAACTTCCCTCACAAAAGATTTCAGGAGGTGGGCCTTCAGAGGCCAGGCGCATCGATTCCTGGACCTAGGAAACATTTAGTTTCTCTTTATTTCTTTATTTATTGTTACGTATTTGGTACAGTGTCTCATTACGCAGCTTGGACTCATAGTGATCCTCCTGTGTTCAGCCTCCCCAGCACTGGGGCTACAGGCATGCAATCCTTATAAAAGTACAATTTTCAGGTACGTGTTTTTTTTTTTGGTTTCCTTTCTATCCATCTTTTTATTTCCTCCATTCTTTTTTTTTTTTTCCCGGCGGAACCGGGGATTGAACTTTTATTTCCTCTATTCTACATCACTCCTAACTGTAAAGCTGTTTTCCTAGTTGATGCAATTTCCTCCCTGTTTTTTTTTGTTTGTTTGTTTGGGTTTTTTTGGCGGAACCAGGGATTAAACTCAGGCTCTTGCGCTTGCAGGGAAGCGCTTATTCCACTGAGCCATCTCCCCGGCCCTAGTCTCCATAATTTGCAATAAATTAGATTTCCAGCGCAGCGCAGCTTCCGGTTCCCAGCCCCGCCCCGTCTCCGCCCCCTGCAGGCCCCGCCCCTCCGGCTCTAGTTGTCAGCGCCGCATTCCCACGGGCGGCCGCCAGGGGGCAGCATCGGAGCCTGGGATTTTCCCTCGGGAGTCTCCGGCGCGGGGAGGGAGGGCGCGAGGCTGCGGTTACATCCGCCGCTGAGCCGCTTCGGGTCGGGGCTCCTAGGGCGGCCGCGGCTGCCGCTGTCGTACGGGCTGACGTGCGGCGGCGTCCCCTCCTCCTGCGTCCGTCAGCAGTGACGAGTTGGCTACGTCAGGCCCGGCGCCGCGGTAAGTGTTCCGCCCGCCCGCGCGGCCGCCCCCGCCCTCAGGCGCTCGC